TATATATATATATATATATTTAAATATAAATTTATGTGCATATACCTCATGAATAGAATATATATTGCTACATTGAGTTGCCCGAGTTGTAGGATTTATTTGAATATAGTGATTCATATATCCTGCATGTGGTTTAATATCAACTTCTATTTTTTGATAATTTGTAAAATTACATTGTTTTCCAAATTCTAATCGCTGTTTTGTATAAATGTATTGCATGTTAATATTTTTTTATATTCCAGATTATTTTTAATTTAATCAATAATTTATTTAATGAATTAAAATATTAATTATTAATTTATTTAATGAATAAAATAAATTGCTTATTAATTAACTTAAGATTATTAATCTTAAAAAAGGAATAATTTTTAAATAATTGAAATAAATGATTATCATCACTTGTAAATCAATTATAATTAATTATATTTATTTTATTGGCATTAAAAATCATATTAAAATATTTCATTAATTTATAAAATTATACACTGTATTTATAAAATAATATCCATTGTGTTTTCTAATTGCTATAGTAACGAATATATATTTCTTTCACTATCTCTCTCACTCACTCACTCATTCACTCAGTCTCTAGGTAATTTTATAATAATAACGATTATCATAATTTTTATTTATTAATTCTTACTAAAATAGGAATTTTTGGATCTAAACCTTGATAGAGAATAGAAATCATTTTATAAATTTTCACGTATTCCAATTGTGTATAATCAAAGAAGGTCTTCATGTTAGGAAGTATATCTTCTACAATAATCTTAATTAAATCACTATAATATTGTATATATTGAAATTTTTGCATTATATCAAAGAATAATAATAATTGATCTTTATTTGTATAACGTATACAACATATTTCTGACATTCCTAAAAAAAAATAACATAAAATAAAATATTCATTAGTTGTAAAAAAAATTTAGTTCAATACCTTCAAAATTGTTATTATAAAGTAAGTTCCAAATTCCATTTGACATATATTGTGTCATATTAGAAATAACAGATAATTCCTTGTATGATTCATTTTTTAAAATACATTTATTATTAAATTTTTTCACTTCATATATTTTCCATGCAGAATTTAATTTTGCATACATTGCTCTAATATCTTTTAAATTAAACATTTTGATATTTTTAGAAAAAAGAGATTCAAATAAAGTTATCGATTCAAAGAATATAGATGAAATATTTTTATGTACTGATTTTTTCTGTGCAATTTCATCCTATGTACAAATCACATAAGTATACATATAATATATGTTATTTATTTATAATATTATATGTATATTTACTTACCATTTTATTAAATTCTATCAAAAATATATGTAATACTTTTTGATGTTTTTGAATAATTAATTTTTTTGTAAAATCAATATTTAAATAAGTATGATAAATTTTTAATGACTTAATTATTTCTTCTGAAATATTATTTCTATTAAAGTTATCTATAATAGTATCAATTATTAAATTCTGATCAAAGGTACAATGAGAAATTGTATTTTCATGTAATGGACACTTTATATTACACTTATTAATCAGTGTACAATCATTAGATTTAATTGACATTTTTTGTATTAGATTTTTCAATTCACTAATTGATGTTGTAGAACATTTTTCACCAAATTTACAATATTTTGACTATACAAAGAAAATTATATTAAATATTATTAATTAATTAAATATATAAAAATTATAAAACATTTTCAGAATTTATAATAAATGGATTCATTAATAAAAAAATTATTATTTTTATATTTCAAAATATATAATAAAATCAATCAATATCAATAAGTAATAGTAAAATTAAAAAAATGTTAAATTTTTGTAATACACGTAAATAACATATAAGTATTTTATAAAAAAATATAATAAAAATTAATAAAAACTTAATTAAAAATTATATTTAAAATTTTATTAGATTATAAAATAAAAAGTAATATATATGAATATCATAAAAAATTACCTCTTTTATGGAACAATTAGATTTAATTTTATTTTCCAATTTATGATTAATGCTTTTGTATTGATTAACTTTTTCAATGTTTTTAACATTTCTTTTATTTATTACAAGAAAATTTTTAGTTTCTCTAAATTTTATTGAATTTATTAATTGATTATTATTCTTTGTTTTTTCAATTGTATATGCATCTATCTCATTTTGTATTTCTTTATCATTTCTCATATTTTGATTATTTTGTTTTATAGCATTAACATCTCGTTTTAAATTCATGTTCTTATTATTAACATTTAAATTTTGAATCTTTTTTTTTTTCTTATTTTCTATAATTGATAATATATAATTAAATAATATATTATTTTTTAAAATTTTAATATTAATTTAAATATTTACCAGTTTTTTGATAATATTCATGTATGTTAAAAATTTTTTGATTTTTTATATTTAAAGATGATTTCTCTCGTAATTGTTGTGTTTGTAATAACGTTCTACTAATATCTGCAGCAATTTCTTCATCTTCATCTTTGAACTTTAAAATAGAAAATAAAATTAAAGTAACTTATTTATAACAAATTTTATAAAAAATGTATAACAATAATCAAAAAATGTATAATAATCTTACTTTGGGACAAGTACAAATATTTTTATTAACTTCTTGTTGAGGATTAACTTCTATGCACCATGGTTTTAAACAATACATTGCTTCTTCACAATTTGCTTTTAGTATAGTTTTTACTTCTTCTGTCAGAATCAAGGTTCGATGTAAAAATTTAATTAATTTTGAAAGATTAAAATTTTGTAAATCTTCCATTGTTACTCTTGAATCTTGTTGTTTCTAACAAACAAAGATAAAAATAATTAAATAAGAAATACAATATTAATAAAGAATAAAAAAAATTATAAATGTCACTCAAAGTGTTAACTGTTATTTTTTATACACTAAAATATCATATAGTTAGAATTTATGTATGATATATTTCACAATTCCTTCTCATACATATGCAGTTTTTTAACATATAACAACATTAAGTAAAATAAGTATTATATATTAAATATTACGATTTATTGATATTATTTGTGAAAATATTAGATTAAAAAATAGGAAAAGAGATAATGAAAAAAATTGAAATAAACATTTATGAAAATGAAAAATTGATATAATTATATATATATTATATAATTATATATATAATATATATATTTTTATGTATATATAAAATTCATTTTTTTATAAAATTTTTATTTAAATTAATTTAAAAAAAATGTTAAAATCGCTTCTACTTTAAATATTCATAAAATTGTTATATATATAAATGCTGTAAATGGAAATATATATCTTCTACAAGTTCAGAATAACTATTCTACAATTAGAGATAATTTTTTTTTTTAATATTAATTTGTTGTACGAGCGCGTATGTGTTTATTTAATAAAAAACAAGGTTTTTTTTTATAAAAATAAAATACGTTTTACGATTTTGCGAAATCCTTAGCCTAATGATCTTTCATAAGTTCATACATCAACACCTTCATACATCAACATCACAAGACAAAGATACTGTATCTAAACATTAGAGATTTTAAACAGTTTTTAGAGGGCACTCATACAAAAAATGATAAGAACGATGCAAATAACACAATATTTTTGAATAGTTTTTTGATATACAGATTATCTTCATATCAGACATTCAGATAAAATATTATTTTATCTATTAAATCTAAAACATATAAAACAAATTGCTTTATCTCTATGTGCAATTTATCACATTAGAAACTCAGTCATATGCGAAATATACATTGTAAACAGATTATACCAATTATATGTATATGTGATTATTATAAATATATATATATATATATATATATATATATATATATACACATTTAATAATTATATATATGTATATATATATATATATATTTAGTAATAATTATATATATATATATATAAACAAATTCTATATAACATTGCAGAAATAAATTTTTAATAATTGACATATAATAATTTGAAAACTTGATTTATAAATTCAAGTCTAAAAATATTAAAATAGAAATAGAGGAGAAAGAAGTCTTCTATAAATTAATATCTTTTAAGCAGAATTATTAAATTTATAAACGTTGTTATGAGAAACTATGGAATTGTTTCTTCATATGTCACATATCTATAACTCATCTTTTCTTGGCACATCATCATCTTCATCTTCTTCTTGAGCCTGTAAAAATAAATATTATAATTTTATGTTATTAAAATACAAATAATATCAATTATAAATTTTTACGAACTTCTTCTGCAGCTTGACCATAAGCACCATCAGATTCAATAAATTTAGAAAGTCCTTCAAGCGTTCTTTCACCATTATATTCTACAGCCTAAAAATTTACTTAATTTAGAATACATTATTAATGTCAAATAAGTATTAATATCTCAATTAATCCAAGATCCTTACTTCGTTTGTTTCTTTTTTGTAAAGAGTAATTGTTGGATAACTACTAACTTTAACATCTTTTAATTCATTTGCAGTAGCATCCATTTTTGCTATAACTAAATTTTCACTGTCTTTATATTTTTCTCCAAGCTATAAATTACATTATATTCATATTATATTCAATTTTTTTTAAATTTATTAAAATTGTAAAGATAATAAATATGTAAATAAAACATACTGCTTCATATATAGGAGCTAGTTGTTTGCAATGCCCACACCATGGAGCATAAAATTCAACTAAAACGTTTTTCTTTTTATCATATGCAACTTCATGGAAGTTAGTACCAACAAGAACTTTCACAGGATTCTTATCCCAATCTTCTGGCAAATCTTGTGTAAGAAAATGCCTTTTCAATTTGCCTTCAATAAATGCAGTTACAAATTCCAATACATTTTCACTAGATATTTCTGGCTTTTCTGGTTTGTATTTAGCCATAATTTGTTCAAATTTTATAATACGCATAGCAGGTACTTCACTTTTTTTCATACCAAAATATTCTAAGATGCGTTCATGATCAGATTCATCGGCATTAATTGTCACAAATAAAACCTGAATAATACAATAAAATAAAAAATTATTATATTATTTTATATTTATATTTATTATTATTTATTTATTTTTATTTATTATACCTCTCCACGGAATTTTTTTGCTGGTTCTTTAATTTTGTCTACATATTCTTCAAAATGACCAGCTTCTTTGCTAAGAAAAACAAGAAGATGGCTTTTGATATCACCACTAAATATCTTTTGTACTGTATCTTGATTGAAATCAACAACTAATGGCAGTGAATGTACAGAAATGAAATTTTGTAATTTTTTAACATCAAGTTCTTCATTAAATTCTTTTCTGCCTTCATCAAACTAAAATAATTATTAAATATTATATGATTAAATCTACAAAAGAAAATTGAATATAACAAATAATAATTAATATACCTTTTTAAACAAAACAATTTTACCATCTTCTACTCCGTACTCATTGAAAACTTTATCATTATTACTTATACCAAAAACATGATCATCAACAGCATTACCAACTTCTAAAAATACTTTTGCACCATCTGATTCTATATCCTAAATAGTATAGTTTAATATATATATATATATATCAATATATATATATATATATATATTGATTAAAGTTTCATAATACAATAAAAATCTTAAACATGCATATATTTCATTATCTTAAATGAAATATAAATAATATATAAATACCTTAAAGAATCCAATAATAGCAATATTATGTGACTCAATAAATGATTTAGCTTCTTCAATTGTTGATAAATTTTTAGCAGCAGGGCCTGATTTTTTTATTACCCAATTTACAATATCATCTGCTTGACGACCTCCACTATAATCAATAGCTGATCCTTTACGATAAAATTTAAGGGTAGGATATCCACGAACTCCATGTTTTTCAGCTAATTCAGTTTCAATAATTGCATCAACTTTAGCTAATTTTATAGGAAAACCACCATCTTGTAATTTTTTAGCTGCTTTGGCATATTCAGGTGCTAAAGCTTTACAATGTCCACACCATGGTGCATCTAAATAAT